CAGTTTTATCGATTGCAAGTTGCTTTATTGAAATATATTTTCATTAATATGTTTGCAAGAATTTTTATTGTATTTTTTCTTACTTTGATATCTGAAATAATCTAGAATAATAGATAATGAGTAAATAGAGTTGAGTAAAATATACTATTTTGTATAACGTACATTTATCTCTTTTGCATGTATTTTATATTTATATTATTGTAATTTATATTTATAAATACATTTTATATATTTTTATTCTTCTCATCTTTCAATGTCATGGATGCATAGTCTGTTATCTACTGTGTATTGTCAATTTGATGATTTCTGCACATATATTTGTAGATCCGAGAAATATTTCTTGAATCTTCGATCGAATATTTATATATTATTTATATATTTACAATTTTATAAATAGCGTGTGCGAGAATATGTAGTGATTTGCAATTAGTACAATGGAAACAAGAACATCGTAGTTCCAGTTGATATATATCTTCGAAATGAAAACAGAATACACAAAATTCATACAATCCCAAGTTATTAAGTGTACTTTAATGATACTTTTTGACGAATCTTACTCCAGCTTCAATATTCTTACCAATGCGGGGCTCTTGCGATTTTCTTGATGATTTTCCTATTATTAGTATTTTTTTATTACAGTACAGGATAGATTGACATAATAAAGGATGCGCTTTTGCAACGAATGATTCGCCTATCGTTATTATTTTCATTGACATAAAATGTATGTCAAAGATCAATCATTTTTTCACGCTTTTCTGACAAAAATTTTTCTTAAAATTTTTCATATAATTTTTTAGAACTTCTAATTAAATATAAATTTTTGAATTTTTGAATTTTTGAATTTTTCAAAATTTCTACATTTTATAATTTTTTGAAAAATTGTCAGATTTCTTTATATAGATTGAAACACTTTTCAGAAATGCTGAAAAAGATTACATTTTTTCTAGATGTTTTCTTTATTATGAATTTAAGGAAGATATAAAATTCTTTATATTGCGAATACAGAATTTTAATTCTCTAGTATAAAATTCTTTATGTTCGAATTCTAAAATACCTAAAATAAATAAGATTCTTCATTCCATTTCATTTCAAAGAAAACATAAGAAAGCTAAAAGAAATGGAAACATTTTTCGTAAAGTTTTACAAATTTAATTGTGTGTATAATAAATTTTTAAAAATATGAGATATTATGAGAATGTTGCTCATCAGAAATGAAAACAATAAAAATAAGATTTCAGTAATTATTGAAATTTCATGCAATAAGATCAGTTATAAGGATTTAATCATCGATAAAATAGAAAAAGATAACAGATATAGTTACAATGCCTTCGATTATTTCACAATATTATGGATCACTTTATCATCATTACCCATTAAGTAACGTTTTAATAAAACTCGCATAAAATTACAATATAAGTAACATATAATCTATGACAACATAAATATATTTGTAAGAGTTCTATCTGCGAATAATTGTAATGCATTTTGTGATCAATAACAGTTTATTACATTTAATGTAGCTGACAATGTTTGAAAACAAAATTCTATAAATCACGCCGAATTCAAATTATCGTGTATTAAATATCGTGATAAGTAATAAAAGTAATAGTCAATAAGATTTCTATAAAATCTTCAATATGTAGATATACTATACTTTTATTATCAAAATACGAAATATTTTGTTGTTAAACTTTTTTTTTTCAGTGTACATATATTCATGCATAAAACATTTTTTATCGAGCTGTGATGCTTACACGACGGTGTGAGATTTATAACTTCTCTTGATAGCCATTCTATTTCCTTATTCTTAGTGTATAGATATTATAAAGAATGTAGCAGAATATATATAAAATATATAAAAAATATCAAATCCCCCATATCAAATTAGATTTGCTATATATCGATTTATGAAAACAAAATTTCATCAAATTTTAACTGTACGCGTTCCACCTTGTTGATCTTCTATCCTTTACTATTGTCATCAATCAAAAATATATTTTCTTGTTATAATTTTTTTTAATCTACAAAAAATTATGAAAAAAATCAATAATATTTTAATCATTAAAAAATATATCTAGAAATTTTTAAGGATTCTTAAAATGTAAATTTGCGCACATGCACGGAATTTTGAAAAATTTAGAAAATTTAAAATTATCAACTATTAAATAAAATTATCGCGTAACTAAATTTTAAATAATTTGAGATGAATAACGTTGGAAAAATTTCATATTATTTTTAGCATGAAATTTTTCCAACGTTATTCATCTCAAATTATTTAAAATTTTTCGGAAATAATTATCAATGTTAAAAAATTAATAATATGATATTTCTCAAATTTTTGTGTTATCAGCATTATCATTATAACTGACGAAAGTCAGTTTAAAATTTAGAAAATTATTATTTCAGTCTATGATTACGTTAGTTCGGGGCGCAATTTCGAGAACTGAAAAGATGTATTTAAAATGCATGTAGAAATATTATTAGGCACTAATAAGTAAATCTATAATCTAAGATGTAATTCTCTGATTTCTTTTAATTTTCTCCGATTTCTTTTAACATTCATAGAATTATGAAAAATATTTTATTCATGTTCCATTTTTATCCATAAGCGGTTTTAAAAGCAATTATTACCCTTTCAATTTCCATTCTTTTATTAGTTAAAAACAAAATAATAATATTTAATAAACAATTGAATATAAGATATGAGTTTTTGGATAGTTAATTACAAAAAATTAGATTTGCAAAATTATTTGTTTATGAATAAAAAATAATTTAATTAGTATTAAATTGTATTGACTTGACCAAGCAAATATGTATTGCGTAACTTTTGACACTTATAAATCTACTTATAAATCTACTTATAAATCTACAGTATAATTAATACTGTAGTGCAATTTACAAAAAAAGATCTTCTGACACAACTGCAAATTGATTTTGGGGATACAAAAAAATGTGTTGATCTATATATTTATAAACTTATACAAAAGAACAAAAATGTGCTTTCAACAAAGTACTTTATAAAAACGCTTAAAAATGATGTCGGAAAGTGACAATATAATAATTCTAAATTATAAATAGAAGCAATATTTTTATTGTTGTGGATGTTGTTTTGTTTTAAATCGATTTACGCAATGACGATACACTGAACGATTTAATGTGACACAAAAGAAGTGTCGACAAGAGGCATAAATAAATAACGTTAAGGATATTATAAAATATTATAATGTCAAAGATTTTAATTATTTAGCGCATGAATTTTTGCTAATCGGAAAATTGAATTATAAAATATCAGTGTAATATTTCTATCTTTGCATAAGAAAAAAAAACATTTCAGTTAATAAAACTACATAATCCATTAATTGTGATGAAAAACATATCGATCATTTTGCGATACGCTTTAATAACAATGTATTATATTTAAATAGAAGTATTACAGCATAGTCTACGTTAGTGATTTCCATTGGAAAAGCTGTATTGCGAAATATAGCAATAATTGACTGATTTGAATTTTATTAACGCAAATTTCATTTGTGATTACAATTTAACAAATGCAATTTCTAATAGAAGTTATAATTAATCTTGTTTTGATATTTAGAACGTATTATTCTACGTTTGTTTATCACTGATCTACGTAAAAGATTTTTAAAATCCCTTAAAAACATAATAAAATTAAATCCAATGCCATCTATTTTTATCTCTCCGTCATTAACAGTAAAATATTAATATGGTATTTGTTGATTGTACTTAGTGCATATTTTAGTATGAAAGCAATGGATCTTTTAGACACTTCTCTGCTGAACGCCTTTGCACATTTCCGACTTTATTCAATGTGTCATTAATCCTAGTTGCTTGGCGTCATTTAAATGTCAATTTTTTAAATCATTTTACATTATAAATGCATTATATTTATCAATACTATTTAAAAGACTGAAATAATAGTATTGATGATACTGTAGAAATAATCTTGATGATATGTATTCGTCACAAAGATATAAGATAACATTAATCGGCAAAGAATTCATTGCGAAATTTTAATGTTTTTAGGGTGTTGGCATTACATCAAATCTAAAATCGAGTCCAGCAAATATTTATCACGCTTATATATTGAAAATATTGAAAAACATGCGATGAAAAAGACGTTAAAGAAAGATAAAAGGCGATAAATTATCAAAAAACATATGACAAGTTTATTATAATATTCATATGTCAAATTAAATTGAAAATTAATGATTTGTAAATTCTGTATTATTATATTTACTTTCATTGACATGTATTATTTACTTTTAACATTTATTTTATTTAATCTGTATTATATTTTAATATAATACACCACAATATTTTAAATTCAAAAATAGTCTATTCAAAATATTTATAAATAAGTAAGAAAAAACACTAAATATAGCGTTCAAGTAAGAATATTACAAATTAAGTTGATCATCAATTTGATGATGCCAATAGCAAACACTGTAAATAATTTATTGCTGAAAACCGAGACAGGACCCTGATAATGAGGTTTTTATAATATTTTAATGATTCTATTAGTATATTATATCAAATTGACGATTAATTTAATTTGTGATATTAGGTACTAGGTTTGCTTTTTTACTTTTGCACATAACTTTTTTTCTTGTTTTCGCTAAATATCGAACGTGTTTCTGCAAACATAAACACAACAATAACACATTATCAATAATAATTATAACTTCCTATTCAATAATGTAATAATGTTATGTACAACATGCGTCATCATCTTTATATTTATATGAGTGGAAAATTATATTATTGTTAATATTATTGTTAATTTGTGTTCTGCAGGCACCTTGTAGTTATTGCAATTTTATTAAAATTTCTTATATGACAGCAATAAATGCATCTAATTTTCGGATTTGACATTTTATGGTAACTTCACATACAGTCAATGATTCCAAAATTTCAATTTATAGACTAGTATAGTTAAACAGCATTTTCGTCCAAATATTATATTCGAACATTTGTTGCAGTTGCTGTTGTGATAGCGTTCTTCATTTGTTGGGCCCCATTTCATGTGCAGCGATTGATCGCTATATATGGTACTAATACAGAAGACCACATCACATCGAATGGTCCATGGATGGAATTTCTTTATCTTCTAATGACTTACGTGTCAGGCGTATTCTATTACGTGTCCACAACCATCAATCCAATCCTTTACAATATTATGTCGAACAAATTTCGCATAGCGTTTATGGTAAGCAAAACAAAAATTCCTTTTCTAGTCTTTCATAAAGTTAAAAATTGTGTAATAATTCCTTTAAATTTAAATATAAATAAAGTTTTTTTGTATAAAATGTGTATCATGCCTACAATATGTTTCAACTCTAAGGAAAAAATTTTCGTTGAAATTATTCTATGTTTCAATGAATATAATATTTCAGCGAAATTGCTGAAAATTTGCAGAAATTTCACAGAAAGTGAATTTGTCAGCTAACATACTGAAAAATCGTTGAAATTAAATTCAAAAAATTTTTTTGAAATTTTGCTGAAAGTTTTCTGAAATTTGTGCTGAAATTTCTATGAAATTTTGAAAATGAATTTTTTAGCTAAAAATTACTAAAATTAAACTGAATTTTTTCCGAAATGCTGAAATTTCGCTGCAAAGTGTTCCAAAACGTGGAATAATGTTTCAGTGAAATTTTTCCATTAGAAAGAATACATTCTCCTTCACTATATAGCACCATTTGGAAAAGAATTATTGGTATATTGAAGGAGAAATGTATTGAAATATTGTATATTGTAGCATAAATACAATAATTTCGAAAAATCTTAACTCTTCGGTATCACACTATATGTTTTGTCACGTATGCGACATATTATTGTATAAAAATATTATGAATATAACAAATTTTGTTCAATTGAAACACTAAACATTATACTTTAAATTCTTTGGAATAAAATCTCATTATTCTAAAGAATAAAAATTGAGCCATTATTGTATTAATTGCGAAAAAATTGTACGGGATCCATAGATTCACTGATAATGTCAAAATTATTTGAAAACGCAATCAAATTTTAAGATATAGAGAATAGAGACGTATAGAGATATACTCCTAAGCTTTATTTAGAGAGGAGTGATTCATTTGCATATTGTTGCAATTGCCCATTGTCAATTACAGCGACTTCTGCGTAGGGAGATTTTTAATTTTTCTTTTAGCGCTGAGATTGGTTTGTGCGCAATTGACTCGTGTGCAATTGTTATACACCTATTCAGAGAATATCAAAGTTTCGTTACACGAAAATATAGCAATATCGGGAAGTAATCTTTGTGTTGCGTTGCTAAGAACAATAGACGAAGAGTGCCTTCCATTAGATCCATTTAGTGATACAAGTTGATACAAGTATCGTTCTATCTTTGTTGTACTTATGGAACGCAAAAAAAGATAGAATAACATTTGTGTTGACTTATGTAATTAAATGGAAGACATCCAAAGTCGCGAATGTGTTGTATATCAGCCTTCGAAATCAACAGGAGATCAGCTAAAAAAATTCGCAAATTCCAAAAGTTACGATATCGCGATGGTAATAACAACAAGAATGTAATGCATTCAAATCATTTAACAAAATCGATAACGAGTACAGAATATCTAATTGTAATAAACAAATAAATCGGAATATAATGAACATAAACGTATTCATGAGTTTAATTCAAAACAGCCAATTTTTAAAAAAGAATTGCTAAATTTTCAATCTTTAAAAATGAGATTTTACTTTTTGGAATGAGATTCACTCTAAAAGTTTTAGAAAGTAAAAAAACGATAACAAGCAAATATACGTTTATGTATGAAAAAGTTATAGCATATATAAAAAGAAAATTTAGGTATTGCATACATGAGTGATACCGAAGTTAAATCCATATTTTTTAAATAACTTTTTCTCTTTTTAATTATCGCTACTTATCGCTATATATTGGTGCATTTTGTTTTTAAAGAATGAGATTTATTTTATCCATTTTAAATGAATTTTGTTTTTAAAGAATGAGATTTATTTTATCCATTTTAAATGAATTTAGTCTGGTCCATTCCAGGAGACATTATCGAAGAGCTTCAGACTCGCTGGATTGCCAGCACATAACGAGCAACGATCCTATTCTAGCTTGTCGCGATCTCAACAAAAGATCATCGGCGCTTATGGCTCAAGAATAGCGGAAGCCAATGGAGAATCCGATATAATTGCGGACAGCAATTACACGGAAGGTTCGAGGAATTCATTGAAAGAGAGTCAACAACAGTCTATACATAATCCAGAAAATTTACCGATATCTACCAGAGTTCTGGATGCAACTCAGACGAACTCAATACGGAGCGAACACGCAAAAAACAGCAACGATATCCTGCCAAAGAAGAATAATCCGCGGTTATTATTATTAACCAGCGGGCATCACAAGAATCGATCAATTCATAGGAATCAAGAAGCTTCGTGGATAAAGAAAACAAAGTATAAAAACGTGCACATAAAAATGTCCAATATAGATAGTTCTGATAAGAAATGGTGGAGATTTTTTAAGTGGTTCCCCGATTTGAAAGTCCTCAGGTTTTCCAGGAGTTCGACCGTGCCTGAGGATCGTGTGTTTGATGAGAATCCCCGCGAGGAGCTGTCGATGACAATGTGGAATGTCCGTAATAACAACAAACAGCGATTTATGTATGTAGAACATTAGATATCCGATTTAATATCTTTGAGAAGACTAATTCTTTTCTGCATCGATTTCTATGTGTTATTTGCATCGACAATGCATCATCATTGCCTAATGACTTGATAAAATTGATGATGGCGTTATATGAAGTTCTCAAGGCTTCATTATGAAAGCGATCGTTTAAAGTTTTCTTTATGGAAATGAGAATTGAAGAAGATTCTAAGATATATATATGTGATGTTTGTAGCTCTGCCTTATGATTAATTTAACAACATCCTAATGTATGTCCAATGACGTAGAAAGTAGCGAGATCTTCAGAAAAATCTATCAAATTAACGTATGCAATTTATATTTATTCATATTTGCCAAGCGAGTTTTGTACATTGGTGGATGCTAGCATCCAAAGTTACATAAAATCTAATAAATTGCTCTGAAACCTCGAAGGA